GAATAAAAATCAATCGCTGTCAAAGTCTTTTTGTCTATCACCTTTATTTCTTAAGATTTATGAATAAAAATGTCTGAAATTAAATTAAGCAGGTATTAAAATATCACGTGGTCAGGTGAAATATTTTTGATGAACAAAGATACCTGGAAATGCTGCAATTGCTACTACATTCATTGGTTCAATAACATGCTTCTCACTTAAAAATGCTTATTATACCCCTTTTAATTGATGTGTTTTGAGAGTTTATTTTCTTGACTTAGGTAAGAAGTGTAAGTCTTGCACAATGAACAAGAGAGTTGGATCATAGCAGTCTCCTAGAACAGAACAAGCCTCCAAGGTAAATGCAAAGAAATCATGAAATGGGATAATGTGATGAAAACCAAAAAAAAAAAAAAAGGAAAAGGAAAGACAGGGGACTGGAACATTATGAAGTTAAAGAAACAAGGGAATGAAAGGGATTAAAACTGGAATGATAGGTAACCTACTGTAAGTGGTGTGAAAGCTTAACAGTGGGGGACTGGAATAATCAGATATGGGAACGACCTGACAATGGAATGCTTTCAAACTGAAGCACCTCAAAAGTGAATGATCTTACAGCAGAATAATCATATTTGCCTCTGGGAATAAAATTTAAAGATAAAAAAGTTTGAAGAAAAAAAAAGAAAGTTTGATGATTATGCAGATAGAACAGCAAAGAGAAACGATCTAGTAAGGGCAGGAGTGGGAAAGGTAAAGGAGAAGAGTTGGGAATGACCACAAAATACAAAGAAAAAGGTAACTGAAACCACAGATGGCTGGAACTCATCACTTCATACACAGAACTGGGGATCATAGAATCACGGAATCCTTAGAGTTAAAAGGGACCTTTAAAAGTCATCTAGTCCAACTCTGAAATGAATGGGGACATGCACAGGTAAATCAGGTTGCCCAGGGCCTTGACCCAGCCTTGCCTTGAAAGTCTCTAGGGACAGGGCATCAACTACATCTCTGGACAACCTGCTCCAATGCCTCACCACCATCACCGTAAAAGGCTTTTTCCTTATATACAACCTATATCTACTCTTTGTAAGCTTGAGCAGCCATAGATCCTGCTAAAGACTCTGTTCCCTTCTTTCCTGTAGCTCCCTTTTAGACACTGCAAGACCACTATCAGGCTACCTCACAGCCCTCTCTTCTCCAGGCTGAGCCCCAGTCATCTTGCACTTGTAGGAGAAGTGTTCCATCCCTTGGATCATTTTTGTGGTCCTCCTCTGGATGCGCTCCAACACAACACTGGATAAGTTCATTTTCTAATTCATCTCAGATTGACTCTTACTCTTGTTCATTTGGACAATAATTCTCATTTCTCACAACCTGACACAATGTTTTCTAAAAACAGCTTTAAAGACGATGGGACATTTGGCTTCAAAACAATTCCAGTCCTACAGATTTCAGTAAATGAATATAGAGTCTCATGCAAGGTGAGTTTATATGAACTTCCATTGTAAGAAGTAACTCTTCTAGGACTTATCTTTGCTTTTCACTGTACATTTTAAGTACATTAAGAAAATAAAATCAACCATCTCTACAATTCTGGAATTTGCTGTTAAAATAAGATATTATTTTTGCAATTCAGTTGAGAATAAGAGGTCAGTTGCACTGTCATCAGTCTACACCCTTATACAGCGTGGAAACAGGCCTCTACCACAGAACCTCATCGGTAGGATATTTTTCTTCCTTAACTCCTTTGCTAACTCCTCCCACACCTTACTGAATGAGCTACAGTGAGTTTTAACAGAGCGATATAATTATATGACAATAACATAATTGTTCTCTACCTTGAGGCCACATTTTCTCAGTGTAAAATTTTCCAAGTTTTCTAACGACTAATTTCTTTTTTTTTCCTTTGCAGTTCCCATTTTTTATTTATTTATTTTTTTTAAATTGTTTTTAATTGTGAAGTGTAGTGAAAAGAAATTGCACCTGTATGCACTTGCCAAAATATGAATGTGTGGACTGGAGATACTCTAGATGCTCTTTTAGTACTCTGCCACCCTGATCCATGCTCCAAAAATGAAGCAAAAAATGGCATTAAGTATTGATTTTAACAAAAATTGTTCAAAATTGATTGCTGACAGCTAGTATTAGAGAAAACTGGAATTTTGAACAGTCTGTGTTCACAGTAAGTAACATACTTCCTCAGTGAAGAAGGGAATACTTGATGTCCACCTAACATTGAGCTGTCAGGAATTAGATTTGAAGATTAATCAAAGACAAAACTTGTATTTTTAATGCAACACAGAAATTAAATCTAGAATTTGAGATTCTATTCTTTGAGACCAGTGGTATGCTGCAAACTGTACCACGGAATTATAAACTTTCATCAGACTGGAAATGCAAACTGCGAGTCATGCAGCAGAAAATTTCAGATGCTGTATGTAATTACTAACTCACAAGATATTCTAATTACCAAGCCATAGTTACAATGATCACCTAAAACTTAGATCTACTCAGTATTTTTAACTGTTCAAAAATGGAACATATTATATATAACTACCCAAGGCAAAAACTGGAAAGCTTTTCAAGTATCACTGCCCTAAATACACTGACTGGGATTCACTACCCTCAATCATTCAGATGTTAAACATTTAGCTGAGTTTGTATTCCTACTGTCTTTCTCTGCCAATGATCAGGAACTATCTTCTAAGAAAGAAGATTCACTCACCTTTATTAAGACATCCACCCACAGATGGAAAGATGATTGCTATAACTACTCTCACTAAGCTGTTTTTGCAAACCAGATGAAGAACCAGGTACAAATTCAAAGATTGGAAGAATTTCCCCACCTACAGCAAGTAGCTATGGGATTACAGCAACAGAAATGAATTTCTTTGATAGTGTTGTCATGTTTGCAGCATGCAAATACTGTCTATTGCACACGCACGTGCAATCTTTATTATTAAAAAAAATACATCCTACAAAAATAATAATATAAATGTACCACGATAAGTAAGTTCCATTGCCACATATTTATGTGGTATCAGTGTATTCAGTACAGTGAATTCTAAGGAGGATAGCTTCCTTCTCCAGTGGTACCTTGGTACATTTGCATTCTCTTCCTTCAATCTATCAAGAACTAAGCAACATGTAGACATAATTTTTGAAAGAGTCATTACAGCAAGTCCTGAAATTGCCAGTTTTGACAAATGACATATCACAGAAATGAGAGAGGAAAGCAAAAGCTTGAGTTGGGGTGTAACTCAAGTTATTTGCTTTTTTCATAGGCAAGAATTGCTACAATATGCAGTATTTTAGCTATAAACACAGCTATAAATGCAGCCATATCTACATAATCATATGCATAGATATCTCAGTTTATCCAGAGGAATGCCAGACAGAACACATGATATGTAAACATCTCTGCCAAACACTTACAAAACAACTTTAATAGCAAGTGTCATTCTTCTCTGTAAAATAGCTGTTTTTAACACACATGATCTAACTCTTGTTTGCTCTTTAAAGTTTTATTGTCTTGGCATTTTATACAGGAAGAGAGCATTAGCATACTCAGGAGAACTGCTAAAAGTAAAAGGCCTCAAGCTACCCACTGCATGGTTGATAGCATAAAGCATGGGATATAAAAACTTTTGTCTGATTGCTCACTTTACTTGTTTTAGAGTAGTGTTACTCTCAAGAGCATATATTCATGTTCTTTCTACTTCAAGTTTTATTACTTCTTTTGGATTATTTAATACATCTAAAGACACTTCCAAAAGACAAATTTTTCCATTTTGAAAAAGCAATGGTTTGGAACCTGATAAAATACATTAATGTTCACAGTGTATTATTTTCAAAAGCCAATAGAATAAATGCGCAATAGAACAATTAAATGCTTGACAATAAACACCTCTATATGATCACAGATATATTAACATGCCAAACAAAAGAAGAAAAGCTCAGCAATATGCTTCCCTTAAAAAAGGTCAGATCAAAATGGTTTCTCCACGCATCAGAGAGTGAGTAAAAGGAGAGTTTGGTCTCAATTACTGTTACTTCTAAATATCCCATTCCAGAAATTAAAATCAACATTAAAAATGGGTGAGAGAAAACGGAATGAAAAAAGGCAAATCAGATCAGCTTCTTTAAGAACAGACCATAACTGTATGCATGCATTAAAAATCATCCTACATGAAGCTTGAACCTAAGTCTACTTACATATCACACTGCTAATTATTATATAAATAACCTGGGAAACAATACCTCCAAGATACATGTTTTACTATTTAGTAAACAAGAAACTGCCACGTTTGACACCACTGATTAAGGCCAGGCATTTCTAAAGCTTCAGACACATTTCTGAAATCCACAATACATCAATTTTTAATACTTCCACTCTCTCAGCTCCATTAAAAAGATGGTAGGGGAAAGATTTTAGAGTAATTAATGATATAGTTAGCTGCTAAATATTAATAGGAATCGTAGTCTTGCATAAAATATAACATATAAACCTTGCCAATACAGACGCACCAGTAATTAAACTTGAATATGTAATTACACTGATTTATAAGACAGACAAAAAGTTACACTTTACTGGCTTCTATGTAAACTGTGGGCAACAGTTAAACTTTGCATTTTACGGTTTATGTAAATGGGCAATATCTCCACTACAGTTCATAAATGGTTTAGAGACTCACAGTTAAAAATTACAACTGATGCCGACATGCACGTTCCGACTGTACTTTAAAAACCAAGCTGCAAAAACGACAACAGAGCCCAGCTTTCCACCACATACAGTGCTTGCAAGCAAGTTGAAGAGGTTTGAAAAACAAACAGAAAAGCTTAAAACCCATCTTACTACAGAGCAAATGAAGAAGTATCAACTTAAATGCTTTAATATAAATGTTTAGTTTCAAACATTCAGTTCCAGATGTTTCACTTACCCTCATTTCAAAGCACTTTTAAATATTATTGGGTCTTAGACTAAGGCATTCTTTTCTTGGAAGAACACTAACCACACTTACATGTGAGGCTGAGGAGAGCAGCCCGGGCTGCTGTTTCCATTACTGTCAATGTGATCCAGCGAACCATTGAGATCTTCATGGACTGCCTGAAGTAAGCCACTGGATGCGTTATTTATCAATCCTGGGTTACTAAGCAATGGTAAACTACTCTCTGCCAGTGCAGCCTAGCAAAATGAAGAATAAAAATAAAATTCTCAGTTCTCAGACGTAGAAACCACCTTTAAATGTTCACTCATTTACAAATGTACACACACAAAGCAGCTCATTTTTGGTAGCTGTAGAGGAGGTCAGGAGGATTTTGTGCATTTTCCAGCTATTTTTATATTCAGATTATAACAGAATCTCCATTTCTGGTTTACTATTTCTCTTACACAGGTTTCATTATTTTCCATTATTAACTATGCTCTGAAATTCATAGCACTTTTCTAGTTTTACATCATTATCTGACTTTGAATTACGCTTAACCCCTATGCCCTTCCACACAATGTATGGTTCCTTTATAATGCAGGCAGCTGCTATACTTTAAAAAATGACCAGAACTTAACTCAAAATAAAAAAGTCCTGACATTTGCCTCTTCTGCATAAAAATTATATATTATAATTAAACTTTAAAGTTTTTGCCATGAGCACCATGTTCCCCAACACTAGGATGTGAAATCATTTATGACAGCTTGGATAAATATTAATGCATATCCACATGCATTTGCAAAAGCTTCTATCAATCTAACATTTGCAGCAAAACTGAGTGTTCCAGATTTTGCCACAGGGTGTCCTTCTTGCTTCTCCACATCAAAAGTAGCATGAATAAGAACGAGTACTTCTTGCAGTGCTAGGTAACACAACTAACTTGGATGATAAACCCAACTATTTAGGTTGACCATAACATTGACATAAACATAAATGTAAGTTACTCTATATCATAATATATCAAGAAATAAAAGAAATAAGATACTTCATATTAACGTATACAAAGAAAGAAAAATTTAGGTGTGTTTTTTTGTTTTTGTTTTTGTTTTTGTTTTTTTTACCTGCAAGCTTGCATTAAGAGCTGCTCCATAGCCTAAGCTGGTGGGTATGTTTTTCACTAATGTTGGGCTTCTGAAAATAAACAATTTTTCAAAGTTTAAAACACAAGCACACATCCTGGCTGGCTCGCTGGGTTAATGGATTGGTTTTTCAGCTCAGAAAACATGAATTTTAGAAGGAAAAATGAAATGAAGTTGTGGGTGAAGGGGCTCAACCTGGCAGAGCACAGCGATTTACTGGTATCAGAAAAGCAAGCGCTTTGCAGTAATTAGACCCACGTGAAAAATCTGCTCCAAGAGCAGGGCCATGGTGACTTGTAAAGGTTCTGAACTTGCTGAAAGAATCTGACATAGATAGCTTTAAACTTTGTAGAACACCTGCTTCAGCTTGCTGTGTCATTTGGTTTTGGTTTTCTGAACTAACACTGATACGCATCTGAATGCATTACATACAGCTCCTCTAAGGTGCTGAACAAAAAGATGTTTTCCTCACTTCCAAAGAAGGGGGAGGGCACAACAACATATAAATAACAGTAAATGAGCGATACAGTGGATCAGTTAGCATCCCATCAGATCAAACACACTGTATTTGAAACAGATTGGAAATACTGTATGCTGTATCACCATAACATTATGTTTTCAATAAAATGGAGGTCTCAGAGGAGCCCAGAGGTCAGCTGGGTGGCTGTTTACAAACAGATCCATTACAGAAAGAGAATACCTTCCTGCAAAGAAAAACCTCCAGCTTTCCTCTCTGCACCTTTGGTATTCTGAGTGGTTTTATCAAAACTAATTATATACTCTAAAGGAATAAAAAGCATCCAGAACCAGTCATAGTGACATGGGAT